ACAAACGAAGCACCTGGGCATCTTGCTAAAAGTGCAGCTTCTGATTCTGCAGGTCTGAGGTGGAGCCTGAGAGTCTGCATTTCAACAGGCTCCCAAGTGGCACCAAATGCTGCTGGTCCACAGACCACCATTGGAGCAGTACTGGTCTAAGAGACAGGCCCCCTGAACTCTGGAGCCAACCTTGCCAGGGACTTGCTGGGAGACCGTGGGCATGCCCCTCCTGCCTGAACAGAGGAGATTGGGCAGGCTTATTATCCAGTGCCCCCCAACTCTACCCACCTGCAGTTGTTGCAAGTGGGTGTGCCTGGCACCGTGAAGTGGGCTTTGGCCACCATCCAAGTCAGGCCGAGGAAGCAGAACCCCTCTTAGTCGTTATAGAGCTCACCTGAACAGGTGAGGCATCAGGAGCAGTTGAACTGGATGCCACAGGTGTCAGAAATGGGCATCTGCACAGAGGAGTTTCGGCTAGCCCAGGGCTTCCTCTGGCTGTAAGGGGCACAGTCCCATCTTGGGCCGAGCGTTTGTCAGTTGAGTGACACGGAGCCTGACCTGAAGCAGGTTATTGTTGTTGTCATTCCACAGCTGCTGCTCCTGTCCCCGGGTGAGATTGTACTGCCTTGGTGCCCAGCCCCAAGTGTCCCCACTTTGTCATACCAAGTTTCTCCTTCATCCCCGTACCCTTTTGAACCCAAGCCTGTGGTAGGAGTTTTCATTTGTACAGATACCTGAAAAGCGCTCGAATTGAGAGGCCTTTGATAAAGTTCCTGGGACAGTGACAGAGGAGGGGTGGCATCACTCTAGATGCACACCAAAACTTCCTTGAGCTAATGAATAATTGGTTGCTGTCACCACGATCCTTGGCCACTAGAGGGTGGAGTAGTCCATGCCTGGATGTCATCCCAGCATTCTGTCCCCTCCTCCTGCCTTCCCTAGAGAAGGGTAATCCCTCACAACTAAACCACGTCGCAGGGGAAAACGTGCAGAGACCTTTAGTGTGCAGTAAACAGTTACTAACAGGTAGAACAAATAGTTCTTAACCAGTACCTATGTTTGTCACCTTACAGCCCACCCTCCATCTGCAAAACCCTCCCCACGTGCTTTTCCATGTAACGCTATGGTGTTGACATCATTATTCCGGGAAGAAGGGCACATGACGCCTCGCTCAGCAACACTCCAGCTGCCTGGCCCTCCACTCCCCTCCACACCCCCTCCCCCGCAAGCTTGCCAGGACCTCCTAGGCTTGGCAGTTGCTGTTTTCCCTACTGGCATGCCCTTGCCTCCCTAACCCACCTGGAAGATTCCTGCCCACCCCTCACGCCCCCACTCAGATGGCACCGTCTGCTGCCTGGTGTGGAAGCCTTCCCCACAGCCCCTGGGAAGGCACCTCTGCATATCTGGCCCAAGCACAGGGCCAGGCACAGTGAAGGGGCTCAGCATGTGCTTGTTGAATGAATGAGTCAATGAATGACATTGATTCAACAGACACCTTCCCCATACCTGATCCTGTGCCCAGGTCTGAAATAAATGACCATCACAAGCTGCATCTGTCCCTAGTCCTACAATTCCCCACCCCACAGCTGAGAAAACTGTCGTACATGAGGCACCCTTGAGGCCTCCTAGGGGAGGCAGTGAGGGGGATTCTGGAGCCCACGGGGAGCTGCCCAGCCCCTAGGCCTCACCCTGGCCTCTCAGCACCCTGGGGAGCCCAGAGCTGACTCTCACGAGCAGGGGCACGTAAGAGGTCAAACTCTCTGAGCCTTTGCTGAGGCTGTGTTTGGGGGTCCGGGTGTGTGTGAAGAGGGAGGAGCAGGAGTGATCCCGGGCAAACCCACACCTCACCAAACCTCAGTTTCCTCCCCTGGGAAATGGGCATGGGACCTACCCTGTGACTTCCTTGGGCTGTGCAGATCAATGGAGGGTGACACGTGGGTAGGTGCCAGGTCTCCATAGCTGGTAGGGACTGGGGTTACCAGTAGCAGGCACCCCTCTCTCACCCAGCACATCAGCTGGGAGCCTCCCATAGCCAGAGGTCACAGATGCAAACCCTTTGTCAACAAATCAGCATCTCTCTTTCCCTCCTTTTCCAGAACCTCCGAGACCTCTGGCTCACCTTTGCCGGCTGCGGGTTCGAAAGGCCATTGGGAAATATCGTATAAAACTCCTAGACACATTGCCGCTCCCGGGCAGGCTGATCAGATACCTGAAATATGAGAACACCCAGTAACCGGGGCCTCAGGGAGGAAGGAGTAGCCCCTCAGACTGTTTTCACTGAGTCTCAGGATGGTGGTGTCCCCAAATCCAAGGGGACCTGGTGACAGAACGAAGTTGCAGGCCACCTCCCTCTCAGCTGGTGCAGCTGCCGTGATCTTGCTGGGTCTCTGGACCAGAACTTTTCCCAGAGCAGAGGACGGAATGTGTCAAGTAGGAGAAGAATTGTTTGTTTTCAAACCCACGAGGAGATCCCAGACCTCTGCCATCGGGAATGAACCTCCATTCCTGGAGCCAGGAGAGGGGCCAGGGCAGAACTTGAGGTGGTCTGGGAAGTC